CATTTTGTACCTTTCAAAGTAAAAAAATAAAAAAATAAATAAAATAAAATTCCCCTAAATCAGCACACTCAGAGAACTACCTTTAAATATCCAGAAACCAGCAGACAATTACAGAAAATTGTAGAGCCAGGTGAGGTGGGATCTAATTAGGTTTATGCTTTGTGGACTGACTAGAAGCTCTACTGCTGCTGTTTACAGAAAAGAAGAAAGAAACAAAAAACACCTGATTGCCTTATTTAGAATAAAGCCTGAGAGGAATTCTGCTGTAGATAAGTAACAACATGTGGCAATCGTGAATTAAATTGAATTAAATCAAATTTAATGTTCAGTGAACAATAATTAAGTGGAGCGTGAGGAAAAGCTTTGCAGTGCCTTAAGAAGTGCTTTAAATGAAGGAGTTTTCCAATGGTTGAGTGAAGTTATTTGGTAGTCACTCACTGTGATCGTATTTAGTCTTTCCCCTCAGGTCTGAACCTCTAATTTGTCATTTATGACTAGATATCTGTTGGCCCAAATGTACACCAGAACTATGTCCTCTGTGAAAGCAGTCAGGGTTGTAGACTTCCTTAATTAATATTTTATTTTGACATTTTAAATTGATGTAAAATGATTTTTTTTAATATTTAAAATGTATTTTTAATTATGTGAGCCATTATGCTTTCAATTCTCTGTCTTTCTCAGGTATTGTGTCCCTGATCTCCTTGGTGATCCTCTCCTACGACCGCTACAGCACTTTGACTGTTTACAACAAGCGTGGACCAGACTACCGTAAGCCTCTGCTGGCTGTTGGGGGGTCTTGGCTCTACTCCTTGTTCTGGACAGTGCCCCCGCTGCTGGGCTGGAGCAGCTATGGCCTAGAGGGGGCAGGAACGAGCTGCTCTGTCTCCTGGACGGCTAAGAGCGCTCAGTCTCATGCCTACATTATCAGCCTCTTCATTTTCTGTTTGGGCCTGCCTGTCCTGGTGATGATCTACTGCTACAGCCGACTGCTTTGGGCGGTCAAACAGGTAGGGTACCTCTGTAATGTGTAATGTGTGAAAATACTTACATTATAACTGGAAAGCAAAATCAAAAATCAAAAAGAAATTAAGTAGATCTGGACAGATTTTTCTTTAATGAAACATTTCGTCTCTCCTTCCAGAGACTTGTTCAGTCTGAGGAGTTTCAGGTAAACTCAGCCTTATAAGCACTGCCTCCACATGGTGGACAAATGAAGCTGTCTGTTCACATGCAAACGAAGACCATCAGCCTAACAATAGATCATTAGTGCCCTGATCATCACCTCTTGTTTATAGAGGAACATGTGCACCATCAACTGACTATCGTTGGAGCCCTGATTATCACCTAATGTTCACAGGGTGCTGAGTCATACTCGCAATAACAGCATTATAAGAGGGGGGCTACTGGACACGTAGGCCTCCACCCATTTAATGATGGACTCTCTCAAACCACCGTTCCTCTCTATCAAGGATGAGAACATCTTCGTCCCTGAAAGAGTGACCGCTGGCCTGTAGATGAGTGTAAACTGCAGAGTCCTGGCCTATAGATGAGTGGAAACAGCAGAGTCATGGCCTGATGATGTAGATCTACTGTGTTGGCCCATTCTTTTGAACAGTGACTCTTTTGTTTCCCCGATGTACTGTATAACTGATCACAGTCCTTCTGACACTTAACAGCATATACAATATTACTCTGTTTGTGCAGGGGGACCAGATCTTTGGGGTGAACCAGTTTTTGCCGTAATGTGTTTTGGGGTTTGAAAGCCACTGGGACGTCATGCTTAGAGAATAAACGTCTCAGCTTCTCTGAAACTCCCCCAACATACAAAATGATCACTGGTCTGGGTCTGGGCTTAGGGTTTTCATTTTCAGCTGGTGGTTGACTGGAGTCCTGTTTGGGTTTCTTGTCTGCTTTCAGGAAAGTCCAGTTAGGATAACCTCACTGTTTCAGGGCCTGTCTTGTATGTGATTTCTCTTTCTCCCTGGCTCCTGGGTTTGTGGGGACCCTGTCTGCTCTGTGGTACAGTCTTGATAACTGCTAACTTTACACAGGCCACATCCACTGCCTCATCAACAGTAATGTGCGTAAAGAATGATGTGACATCAAAAGAGACTATACTGTAGTTTCAGCTTTCTCCATGATGACATCCCTCACCTTGTCCACAAAGTCCATGGTGTTCTGTATGTGATGWTCTGAACTGCCAACTAAAGGACCAAGTACTGATGCTAGATATTTGAAAACATTGAGACAGATGCTATGCAATGATTACCAATGATTAAAATCAAACATTGTTTTAAATGTTTTCCAAAATTTACCCTAAGTAAAACCTTTAGACCAGTGTTGTCAAACTCATTTTCATGAAGGGCCACATGACCATTATGGTGACCCACAAAGAGCCAGTTCCAAGTAACTTTGACAGTTCGTGCTTAACTTTGACTAAAAATAAAACATCACATTCCTTGTTTCAATACAACAGTTGAGCACCTGACAAGTTTAGGTGTGAGATCAGACTCAAGATGCAGGCAGCACAGAATCAAAGTTTAACGGACTTTAACCACAGAAAAAGACGACGTGGCGGCAAAACAAGCAAATAACTTAGGCAGCTCCGGGGAAATAAACAAGGCAGAATAATGCAATGGATGGACAAGCAAATGGTGACGAGACCGGTTAAATACCATCAGAAGGAGAGAGAGGATTAGCAACACCTAGAGAGGGACTGATTACAAACAGCTAACTGGTAAGTGTGACAGACTGGAAAGTTACTGGGAAGCAGACTGGGAAAATATGAAAGTGAGAACACAGAGAGCAAACACAATAGGGAGACAGGACACAGATCTTAACAGCACCACTAACAAATAAACAATAACTGAACTCTACACGGTATTTCCTGCATAGAAACGGCRTTTTAACATGTCCTCTTATAAACACTGAAAAGTACATGTGAAAAACATAACACAAAAATACTATTAAAAGTAAAAGCAAAAAAGGTTKTACTTGTTGAGTTGTGGTAAGCAGCTGCTGTCTGGAATTCTGAACCCTCCAATATGAAATTCCCGCTTGAGTGGTCTTCCAGTTTAACTTTATGACCAGTTCAACTGAGCTGCAGCAAAAGTTGCAGGTGCAAATACAAGGAAATGAATATTTTTTCATGGAAAATTTGACCGGCTGCAGGCTATCGACTACTTTGAGCCCTGTGCACCATGCTGGTAGACATGCATTATGGGAGATGTAGTTTATGGTCAATGCTGGCTTTAAAGCAGCATGTGTTTATTTTAATACATTATTACATCTTTGAAGCTCTAGCGGACCACATAAAATGCTGTGGCAGGCCACGTTTGGCCCGCGGGCTTTAAGTTTGACAACTGCTGGTTGACGTGTATAAATTGGTAAAACTGATTAAGCTGACTCAGTAAAATAAATGTCATATTCTGAACTAATTTTATTCATGTATATAATAAACGGGACTAATAGTGACTATATAGTCCCAGGATTCTGAAGAGTCTGCTAGTTCAGAACAGTTGGTTCTGTTGGAATACAAAAAGTGAACACTGCACAGGATCAATGCCGTTATCATCCACAGATAAAGGAGACAAAGAAAGCGAATGATGGAGGCTGATTTGCCAAATATCATATCTGTAAAGAAATGGAAGAAATTACAAAATAACTTCAGTGAACAAAGCTAATGGATTTTATCTGACTAATGAGGATTTAGCTAATGACTAGACTATTCTTTAGAGTTAAATCTTTAGCTACATTTTACTAGAAATGAATTGAATACACAAAGAAACAATGAAGAGGAATCTTTGTTTTTTGAGGTTTCCTTGCCTGAAGTAAATGAAAGCTGTTGAACTCCCAATAATTTATTTTATAAAGTGGTGGAAAGTGACAGAGTGGGTGATTATTGCTGCATTATGCCTAAGACAAAGCTTACAGTAAACCTCTCAGTTATCTTCAGAGGTTTTATTTTGTAGTTGTTTTAATACMTTGTAAAGCATTTTTGGACCTCAGATTGACCCCGCACTATCAAAAAGCAGCTTTCACAAAGTGCCTTCTCACTATTAAGAAATTTGAGTCATTTGATATASTGGTTTCAGTTAAGGTTCAATATATTCATTGTCTTTGAACCATCTGTTCACTAATGTCTCATTCAATAAGAAAGGTTGTTGGATTTTGTAAACTGCACAGTAGTTTTACCAACGATTAAACAAATATTTGCATATCGATATTACTGACACAAAAAGCTTTTTTTGTTGTTGTTGTTGTTTTTCCAGGCAGGTAAAGTCAACTTTTCTTTTTAAAACTTCTTTAAAAACATAAAAATACAGAAAAAAATAACAGAATAGATGAATTTCATCAGTTAAAAAAATAAAAAGAAAAGAAAAATGGAAGGTGTTCAGAACAACATGAACGTGCATTAATAAAGCAAGAGGGGAAACATGGAAAGAAAACTGAATATATGCGTCTCCGCAGTCGCGCTTGTAGAGGTCACCTCGATTGAGAAAACAAGATTTTCTGCCTCTAAAGCAGATCTCGGACAGGCCTGGAAAGAAGACAGAAACTCTGTTCCATTCTGAACTTTATTTAGGCCATGACAGGTCATTCTAACCGTGGAAGAGAACCCCTCTTTCTCTTAATCAGATAATGGACAGAATAATTGTTCGTGATTCATTTGTCATTTAACCAAGAATGTTTATGCATTTCTGTGATGGACTTGCGACCTGTCCAGGGTGTACCCCGCCCCTTGCACTGTAACTGCTGGATATGGGCACCAGTGACCCACGCGACCCTGAAAAGGAAGAAGCGTGTACAGAAAATGGATGGATGTTTATCCATTTGTTAAATCAAAGATAATGCCTGTCACATGAAAAAAGTAGAACAACTTCTTTTCTCTCATTGTGCCTTAACAATTTATAATGGTATAAAAGAATCACAGAGAATTTGATTACAATGTTTTCATTGTGTTTTTATGCAAATCACTGTTTTTATTTTTACTGTGAACACAGTACACAATAATTGTGGATTTTTCTTGAGAAAATCTTTCATTTATCTAAACTAATGAATGGTTTAGAGTTGATTATGAACAGAAATGTTACAGGTCTGAAGTAATCATAAAATGTTTTTTTCAGTGATTTCATCATCAGTCTCATCAGAGGGGAAGTTAAAAGTAGGTTATCATGATGTTTGTTTATTYAMMCATACAGCAATAACCTTGGCTTGCRCCTGGCAGTCTCTTAACTTTTCTTTCTTCTGACTCATCCTTATGCCTAGAGGYGGAACCAAAGCCTGTCCGTTCTAYACTAACACCGGACAGCTTTGAGAGTGACACTCTGACTTCCTGACTCAACAAGGAAGGGCTGTTTTTCCTCTGCAGAGGATTTCAGCTTATGAGCTGGTAACCGTAAACTCAAGAGCCAACGAGGGGKTTTACCGCTCAGAACTTGACAATGCCTGTCGAATTCCCCTCGAGGTTTTAAACCTCCAAGCAATTATTGATTTTCCCTTTCTATGGTGGAAGTGATTTTATTTTGAATGAGAAACCAGATTAGCTCTCTGTTTCCCTCTCGGAATAGCCTATAGGCCACGGACATCCGGCCCAGCACTTGATGCCACTCCCAACACTTCYGGTTCACGGTCAACACAGTGTTAGCGAAAGATTTTTTCACCCGACGACTCTTAATGATCTCCACAGAACAGAATTAGCATATTACATGTACCAACATTAACACAGGAGACGTACAGGTCCAACCAAGTGGGGAAAAAAATCACTCCAAAGTGGATTAAAGCCATAAAAACAAAGGAAAGACGTTCGTGTTTATGTTCCAGAATTTAGCCTTTTTTGCTATTCCGTGGCTGCTTGTTCCGTGAATTTTTCACATAGAGCTGTGACACTTATATTGTTGGAAAGAGCAGAGTCTGGGCTTTAAATCGATGGGATACTTGTATGGTTTGGATCATTTTCCCCGAGGTTAGTGAACTGAAAACGTAATGAGATTATCAGGTGGAGGTTCTGCTGCTCTCGGTGCTCGGGGGGAGGGGGGGGGGCACGCTTGTCACTCAGCTTTAGTCTACACTGTAATATACACTCTAACAAGTTTTTGCTTTTTTTAGAAATACAGGGGGTATCCAGGCTTGAACTGGAGACCTCTTGATCTGTAGTCAAATGCTCTGCCACTGAGCTACACCCCCAACCAACAAGTTTTTACTTTTGCATAAAACTCATGACAAAGTCGCATAAAAACATTTCATTTAACACAAACACACTCGCACATACACCTACCTTTACCGGCTGCTGTGTTAGCTTCCTGCTAGCTGTCCTCTGGAGATGGTCTTTCCTCTCCTGGTCTTGGCAGTAAAAGGGGATAAATGTACATYTCMCTTTTGTAACCTCCGTCTTCTCATTTCTGATGCTGACTCTTGAATATCCTCAGGTTAGAAATGCCGATTWCAAACACAAGCGTGAGCTTTTAAAGATACATTTTCTCTGTAATGCTATGATCCACAGCTGTCACCTCCTCATCTAAAGGAAAAAGGAGAAAAACTAACTACTCGATCGTATCTGCTGCTTAGTGGACACAACGGCACACAACAGAACTCATGTTTTATACCAGTAGATCACAGATGCTTTAACTTTTGTGACTTTTTCACGGACTAGTACTAGCAGCTAATGCTAAAAACATAGGCAGTAAGCAGGGAGTGGAAGTGAGGAGCGTGGCAAAAATTTTACCGGAAATACGCCATTAATGACCGTGGCATATAGGCTGTTGAAGCAGACCAGAAGGTTACTGGAGAAATAACACGTGTTTTACYGATGAAGGTGAGCGGACCTACCGAGTCTTCCTGACCGATCACAGGTGGACCAGTCTCGCTACTAGAAGGTGCCTAAGAAGTCATTAAAGGTAAAGAGGCTGAGTGTTTAGGGTGAACCGGAGTCCGGCCGAAGCTGAGTTGAGAAGGGGGTGCATATCTGGTTGACTCACACTTGGTAAAAGTAAAAGTTAGAGACACTAACCTTACATTTCCTCCTTTTGATTGCTTAAAGTATTTGCCTTGCCAGAATCTAAGTTTAATGTGCCAGTAAAYGTTTGGTTTATTTAACATCAAAACTGACGTTTTACTGTTCTATTCTAAGTATTTGAGTTGATATTGATTGAATTCGAATGCAGATTTATATCTTATTGATTCTAAACTTGTTATAGGAAGCTGATTACCCACGATTAAGTTGTTAACTCATGATTTGTTTAATTTTTGTAAATAAACGATCGCATATTGTTTATGGATCAAATTGAATTCATCTGAGTTGTTCCACTTATTGTGTGTGTTGATTCACTTTGCACAGCCAAGACATTGATGAAAAATAAGAAATTCCTTGGTAAATAATTTCCTCATAAMCTTGTTATGAAAGATGTGGAAAACCTTAATTTTCTATAAGCGTATCTTCCTACACGCTGATCTTGCCCTGACGAGGAAAACTTTAAGTACTTTGGTTGGAGTCCTAACTGGGCACAACTTGCTCAACCGCCATAAAATGRTGATGRGACTCCATGAAAATGGTCTGGCGCAGCTTGAAGAATGTGCAAGAAGTTTATTATCAGGCAGGAGGGGGAACATAAATTTACTCTTTGAGTGGAACAACTTAAAATCACTGCTTTTACCATTGATTTAAATCAAAACTGAGTGACAGTAATAAGAACTTATGCAGCATATTGTAGCTGTGGATAGATTTTAGTTGAGTGTTTCATTTAGTCAGAAAACAGCCAATAATTTAATGGAAGTAGTTTGATTCACCCCACAAAACACACTGTGACACACAGGACTCAGCCGGGAAAACAAATCCGCCCGAACCAGCGCTGCATAAATATTACAGCTCAGTAAAGTCAACAATATCAAACACTCAGCACACAGAGAGGGGAGGTGGTGAGCTGGGAGATGGACGGTTATGTCCATTTTTAATAATAGTAAAAAAAAACTAATAAGAGGAATAAAATTGTTTTATTTTACTGCTAGACAAAGAAATGACACAAACAAATGAAGATATTTTGTTTTCAGTATCATTTATTTTATTTTGTACTGAACTGCCTTATTTCTTCAAAAGTGTGCCTGCRTGGGTTTATATATCATATCTGCTATCAGTCACATCTTGATGAGTTCTACTGGGGTTAATGGGGTAGTTAAGATTTTTTGAGGTGGAATAGCTAACCTGTTGTAAAAAGCCRTTTGAAGAATCTCAGTTCAGAGGAGATACATTTTGACTGGACYGATGATCTAACAGTTCAAGCAGAGCCAACGTGGATTGGAGTTCTCTTTAACAACCTTRCAGCTCCGCTCCCTCTTCACCACCCTCGTCACAGAATCTGCAGTACTGCAGAAGTCTGTTTTTCTCACACTTCATTCCTCTCTCACTCGTGAACAAACCCTCGGGATAATTAAACTCCTCCACTTGAAGCARCATCTCACTGCTGTCTGAAGTGATTTGATCCTGGGAACTTTGCTGTCGGGGGAAGTTTTCGTTGGTAGGGTCTCCCAAGGCAGATTGGTTCTAGCTGACAGGCCAGACAAAAAGCATTTCACAAGACTTGTAAATGGTAAATGGACTGTACTTGTCAGGATCAGGATACGCAAAGCGCTTCACACTACAATCTGTGCCCTCATTTACCCATTCACACAGCACTCTACTAGGTCTCTACAAAGCTAACATGTACAAYCATCTATGGAGACTAATCAGTGCCAATCACATTCATACACTGATGGGACATACATCAGAGGCATTAGGGGTGAAGTGTCTTGCCCAAGGACACATCTGAGACAGCTGGAATGAGGGGATCGAACTGGTGACCTTCCGGTTCCAGGACCCTGAAGAGTTTGTGGCAGGGACCAGACCCAGGTGACACCTCTATGACCTTTTTGACAGAAACTTTGCTTTGCAAGGTTACATGTTCAAAATTCAAGTGGCATAAGTGAGGCCAGGCAGGGAAACTGAAGGCTCTGSTGAATGTTTTAAAGGAGGCAAATTCTTTTAAATCCTTTTTATTTTTATTTAGTTGAGATCTATATAAAGTGGAACTGCAATGCTTTGGTCTGGATTTCTCCTGATTGTAACTCCACAAGCCCCTTTTTCACCCCTTTCCTGAGATGTGATCAACTCGTTTTGAGGCTGTCTCTTTAAATCCAAAAGAGACATTTCATACCCCACCCCCCTTTCAACTTTCAGAGTGGTCCATTGTACTTGGAGAGAGGGGTTTACGACTATTTAGCACCGCAGGAACTTTCTTTTTACAAATTAATTAAAGTATGTGAACAACAGAAGACTTGTCCATCCAGCCTTACATGTTGGAGCCAGAGTCTGACCCAGAGCCAGAGGAGAATAAAGACGACCAAATTGTAGTTTGTAAGACCAGAACTTATCTGGCAGTTCAGTCACAGAAACTGTGACATAATAGTTCAGAAAACATCACAAAAAATTGATAATTGAACTGGTTAAAAAATATGACACAAACAGAAAATAAAGATATCTATGCAACAACCAGGAGAGACTAAATTCTAATTTTCTGAACTCCTAGAGACTCCAAGTACACAACAAAATGTATTTAACAGCTAAAACAAATGGATTTWGCAAGATATGTCCCCTTTAAGATATTTTCTTAAAGTCTCAGATCAGTGAGATAYTGGTTTTAGCTCATCTGTTCAGAATTTCATCAAAATTAGGTCATTCAGTCTATAGTAAGTAAGATATTAATCATTGTTAACCYTTTCACAGAACTCCATTTAAAAAGATTTAAATTAGTAGTCCAAGTGTTAATGTGCGCAGGCTAAAGGCGATAGTGGTAGTTCAGTATTTTTTTTTCTTTTTGATTGATGCATAAATTATGTGCATGTATGAATCACTGAGATTTATGGAGGCAGTTCAAACAAATATATTCTGTCTAGAAGCCATTGAAACACCTATTGCATTGAGGTGCAGCTCAATGAATTCAAAGACTGCACCATACTGAGTCATTCAAACTTTTTTGTTKCATTTAAATTATTGACACCCTAGTGGGTAATAATAATTGCCTAACTGACAGCTCTGGCTGACAATTTGCTGCTAATATGGTTCATTTGGATTTCTACAGCTTTAAAACTTCAAATTGGGTCGTTTTGAAACCTGTAAGACGTGCAACAACAGGCTCCTTCAGGTTCTAAACATATGGAAAGCTACTTCTGTGATRATTGCTACCAATTTAATATTTTTTAAGATTTAAAAAAAATGAGTGGCATTTTCTGTTCAGCTCACCTCTGGAGCTGGAGCATATTGGAAAATCACAGCCAGACTATTATATTCATGAATTTATTCTAACTGTTAGTGGAGCTGAACTCCTGCAGGGCTCAGATAAAATGTGAGTGATTTCTAAACCTGAGAATTACTGGGTTTTAGTGATCTGAGAGTCAGAAATAAATGAGTGAGAAAGAGCCGGGCCTGAAAACCTGAGCTGGGAAAATTCCCTCACTTCTTATTGTCCTATTTAGGTTTATCCTCTTGTAAGCTGATTAGAAGACAGGATGAGATTAAAGGAGAGCCACATATAAAGACTTTCAACAAGTTCAGTTGGACTAAACTTTAAGTGGATCAAAATGTTTTTATTCAGATGAGTAAAGCTGTTTGTAGGCATGAAAAGTGTTTTTAAGCTGAGTAAACTGATGTTTTGTTGATGTTGGTTTGTTCTTTTTTTGTTCACTTCTCAGAGTTTTACTCCTGACCTTGTCTCACCAGGCCTCCATTAGTTAATTGCTTCTCACTCCTTGATCATTAGATCCCTTCGTACATCTTCTCCGTGGTTTCCTTTATCTATTGAAGTCTCACCATGTTTTTTCTGCCCCTTTCTGTTGCTCCGGCTGCCTTTCATTTCTTTTGGTAAAGATTCTAACTGAACATTGTATTAGGTTCATCAAAGTTTTCTCTGAACTCAGTGTTTGAAAATTTTCTGGGCATTTTAGCTGTTTGATGTGCTGAACAGCAAAGTTTGTGGGCGATACACAAGCTGTCCTTCCTGTTTTTAATGCTTTTATAAAATTCTTGTCTTTAGGGCTGTAATTATTTTTGCTATGCAGTTCCATGTTGTACATTTTTTGGCAATATATATGTGACATACTATAGAATTTTGGCCTAATTTTTTATATTGTGTGTGTGTGTGTGTGTGKGGGGGGGGGGGGCTGTCAAGTGAAAATGAGCATATTTGGTCACATTTTTGTGTCTCCAACTAGTCAGTGAGTTACGGTCTCAGTTAATGACTTTAACTTTGCAAAAAAGGCTTAAACAAAATAAAAAATAAATATTTTCTGCAGTTTGAAAAATATTCCCACTTTGCCAGGAAGATGGTTTGGAATTGTGACATTTATTTCTCATATTTCCACAATTTAGTAGACTTTGTAAAGGAGCAACACATGGATTTAAAGTCAGATTTAAGCAGAACCACCACGTATTTTATTTAGATCACAACTGAAAAGAAATGTTGAAGGAAAAGTTAACTTTCTACAATTCTTATTGTTAACTGGAACCTGGAAAGAAACCAAATAAGCGGGGTCTTAAGTGGGCCCATTGCTTTCTCCAAAAAGACGCTGAGCTTTATTCAAACCTTCACATCTCTTGGAGGACTTTCTTTAAAGCATCACATTGAGTTTTCCTTTAACAGCTCATCTTCCCACAGGTGGGGAAAATCCGAAAGAGTGCAGCCAGGAAGAGGGAGTTCCACATCCTGTTTATGGTTCTGACCACAGCAGCCTGCTACCTGATCTGCTGGATGCCTTACGGTGTGGTCGCCATGATGGCAACATTTGGCCCTCCCAACATCATTAGCCCCGTAGCCAGCGTGGTCCCCTCACTTTTGGCCAAGAGCAGCACYGTTATCAACCCTCTAATCTACATACTAATGAATAAACAGGTAAGCAAACTGTTGTTTTGTTATAAACATCAAACGTTTTCCAAATCAGCACGATGGCATGTAGTTTTATTTACACAGTAAAAAAATGACATAATTGAAATCATACAAATGGATCATTTAAATATCAATTCAAGTGAAATAAGAGGAATTATTGAAAAAAAAATCTGGACAAAAACAAGGCTGCTGGGAGTGAAACAGGACTTTAACTTCTACTGGCCTGCAGGAAGCTGCTGCAGAGAGGAAAGAAAAAAATGCTGAGCAACCCCTCTGAGACAGTGTGGTAAAGAAATTCCCACCAAACTTAATCAAAACAAAGTATGCAAGATAGGTCTCAGGAGACTGACCAAAAAAATGCATTTTATAAACATGATCTTACKACTTCACCACCAACAATTTTCAGTCACTTATCCGACAGACTTTCAGCGTTTGTTACTGGTAATACAGAAAATCAACTTATTTTGATATTAGGCATCCCAAAGAGAAGCAACAGTCCCGTACAGAGGACATCCTGCCATCACTGACTCCTCAAACAGCTCACACAGAATTTAAGACAGAATTTGGCACAATAACAAAATGCAAAAAGAAAGACGTTTCAAGAAGTCATGACACGTATTCGAGTGCCTTCGGGTAATAACCGAGAGCTACACTGCAGCTGGATGCGGTCCACAAGCATGCAATAACATTTTCATATGTCAATTTGAGAAAAATTTTGAAAAAAATCAAATGATAAAAAAGCACAGTCACCTCCTACAAGTTGGACGACGATGACTTGCTGCACGATAACAGCACAGACAGTTTTAAGACTCAGCCCTGGTCCTGATTTGCATGCTTTGTGCWGCGGAAAGTCATCAAATATAAACTGCACGTGTTCAATATGTTCAGGGCTTTTTCCACCTTCAGTGTGCTACAGTCACAAGCTGAGTGGAGACGTAAAGCCTGCAGCAGAGCTGAAATACCCACACGGCTAAACAGAATCCTCAAATTTCCTTTTCAAACACCGGAAACATTTTCTACAGTTTTGTCGCAGACTTCCCTCAGATCTTTAGCCTACTGGTCTTTAACTCACTGGAGCTGGGTATTAAACCGTATTTTTTATAATTATTATTCTACAAACTGTGTACAAAGCATCTTTTTAATCTCACAATTATCTATCAACTGTTCAGAGACACGTTTCTACAACCTGCTGAGCTGCCTCAGCAGAGTCCTGTAATTGATCCTCAATACCTCTTTGTGGGAAATGCATTCACGGCAATTTCGGAGTCACAAAATTTTTTTTTTTGCATCAATGTGATGAAGTACTTAYTTTTGCCGTTGAAATAATTCACTGAATTAATCATTAATCACACAATTAATCTAGTACACATTATTGCACATACGCTGATCAACCACAACATTAAAACCCACCGATGGAGAAACTGAAAAATGTTGCAATATCAAGATTGCAGCAAATTGTGGAGCCAAGCTGCACATTATTTGACCAATCAGAGCCCTACTGCCCTAAATGCCCAGATGATCATGATGGAAATACTAAAGGAGACAAAGTGTTGTGATTACAGTTTTAAGTTAATGATAGAAGATTAGTTTAAAAATGATAATGCTGATGCAGTTAGCGTCACTACTTGATAAAAATAGCTGTAGGAGCTGTTTAAGTTAATACAAAGGTGAAATCACAGTGGCATCWATAATCATCAAAAGTAGGCACACTCATTATTTTACTAGTTCGAGAGTGAGAATGGGAGGAATTCAAAGCAGTATTGTTTGCACTACTGCTTGAAGTAAAAGTATTTTTCCATACAAATATGATTTGATGACTTTAATATTTGCTTAGCAAACAACTGAGACCAGAGCTTGACTGAAAAGGTTTTGATTTACTCTTGACAATGATTAAACCAAATTCAGGGAGACTAGAGTCCCGATTTCAAAGCCCCAGAAGCGTTAYACAGAGAACTGATTGATACTGTCCAGGTGATGTACACTTCAAAACCCACTGATGACATGAGTCCAGGCTCCAACCAGTCAGGATCTACATATTWCGGGGCAGGTGGTTATAATGTTGTGGCTCATCAGTGTAGTTTATCAAAAATGTATTTACATTTGCACGCTTCATATTAACACATCATGTATAAAAGTCATGAAAAACCGCATCAACCATGCTTTAAGTATAAATTATGCTGTATCTAACTATTTTAATAAATGCAAGCCAACTAAAAATGTTTCTTTTTGTGGTATAACACCCAGCCCGAGTCCAACTCCACAAACAGCTTCTTCTACGATCCTACTACAACAATGTGACCTTCACATTTAAGCAAAGTTTCAGGAACATTTTACATTTTCACCTTATTAAACCATCAATGGCACACATTGAGAGAAAAAAAGATAAAAATCAAGCCGGTTATAGGCTCAATATTTTCTGACTACATGTCGGCACAAACATCTTCTTTTTATTATTTTGACTTGACACCTCTAGAGCGATCTGCTTTATGTGTCATGGGTTCACTGTAAACATCCAGATACATCTGGAAACAAAAAATACTGAACATGCTTTAAAATTCTCTCCCCTCGGTGCTATGAATGGGTATAGACTACTACCAGAGGAGTCAGGAACTATAAAATATATGTACTTGTAAGGAATGCACTTCACGCTTTTACACACAAAATAAAATAAAATAAAAAATAAACAAACATTTCCTGCACATATTCTAAAAATACAGCAGAGGTGATTTTCAGTAGGGGGTTTGGCCAAAACAGGCAAAACTACATTCAATAAAAAGTGAACTGAGAGGAAAAGAAAACAAAGTCAGGGGCTGGAAATAGCTGAAGCAATCATATCGACTGGTACTGCAGTCCTGCCACAGTGTTACTGCATTTGTATGAACAGTCACAAGGCAACCCGAGAAAAGTGTTCGGCTGACCACCAGGCACGGGATTATGGCTGTTCTGAGCACCTTGTTTTCTTTCTTTCTTTCTTTTTGGCCCCGTTTACTTTCATTTGGTTGCATGACTGCTCCAGAACTAAAATGTGAAAAAGTGTCAAACGTGTTGTTTACAGTCGGTGTGAACAGGAGAGTAATCCAAGTTAAAACTGAACAGCATCAGTAGTGAGAACAGGAAACAACCTGGCAGATATGTACAGTAAAACGACTGCTGAGGCAGTTTGACAATCTGACGGTAAAGCTGCATTCTTCTGCATGTTGCTGACGTGTTTGTCACATTCTGAGTGGACGTTATTGTATACCTTTTTACACCACTCCAGATTATACAAAAAAATCTGAATAAATAAACAGTGGCGTTTCCTTTTTTAAGTATAGTACCTTCCATACACCTGTAAGACACAGTTTTTACACGACTGATACACACCAGATTATTGAAAATTCACTCGTCTATCTAAAAACACAGATCTGTTGCTACCCTAGTTAGCACTAAAGCTAACATGGCTCAGCTAAAGCAGATTTTTTTTTTCTTTTTTGAAAATCAGCTCCAGTTTCTGGTCAAGTAAACCATCTTTGATGAAGACAACGTCTTTAGACATTTGCTAAGTTGATCCCTCCCCAGAGGGCTATGGCTTATGCTCTTCATAGGTTGAATTTGAAACTTGTAAGCTTCAGCCTTCTTGTCTACAGTGGCTTTATTGCAACTCTCCCTCGGGCAGCCACAGAAGGCCCTTGTGTGTGCTCGTGTGTGTATTTTATTTGGGCTCAGGAGCTTTCATATTTCAGATGTCACAGTCAACGGTGCTAAAGCCTGGAAGAGTCACGCGTCCTTTCCTCCTGAGGTCATTCTCTGGGCCCGTGTTGATCCGCTGGATCAGGCTCTTCTCGTAGAGGAGGGGGTGGTAGGCGCCCAGCGTGCAGGCAGCGTCGTAATACCGCTCGTGGTAGTGGCACAGGTCGGTCTGCCTCATGGAGGGGATGTACTCGTACACGTGCACCTGCTCGCAGAGCGCCATCATCAGGAGGATGCCTATGAAGTACACGAAGAGAGGAAGTCAAACATCTGTGCTAAAAAAAACTTTGCCGAGCTTACCTAATACTTTGTCATGAAGGAAAAGATGGCAACCAAAACTAGAACTGTGAATAAATAAAATACAAAACATCACTTTCTGCCCACTTCCTGTGCTAATTGTCTGAAGGTCAAATCAGAAACTGTAAAAATCAGAGAGAAAAGTTTTTACAAGCCTCTTTCACAAGACAGGTCCAAGAAATCACCACACACACTCTGGTTTTAAGCTCCCTTGGTTCATTCATAAATCACAGGTGAAGCTGGTCAGTTCCCGCTCACATGTAGGCCAACGTGTTCAAAAATGAACCCAGCAGCGCAGAAACACAGGAGGCATGGAGCAGACCTCAGCTCGGCTGAACCGTCCAACTGGACCACGACGTATTTATTGCGTGATGACGTTCGTCTCATAGCGTCATCATCTTTAAAATTCCCTCGGTAAAAAAAATCTTTATGTCAACTGCGGTCGCTCACTGATGTCTGTGTCGTATCAAACACAAAACAAAAACTGAAATAACTCATTTTAGCGATCCGGTTCAATATTTTTTTAAACAAACTACAAAGTTGTTGTTCCATGTCATTTTTAATATTCCCTCTGTAATACGACGGCACACATTTCAGCACGGTTTTTCTCCACAAATTTTTAAACAGCTAAACCAACAATGCTCAATTTGTAAGGTTAATCAAGTCAAAAATATGGGATTTATTTCTGTTCTTGTCTGTTCAACTGCATTTGTGACAAACAGGAACAAATGTGATGTGACTCCTCTGAGTCATTATTCAGGAAAGAAGAGCAGTTTGTGAATGAACACTTACACAGAAACAAAAACAAAAAATGTAAAAAGGACGACTAAGTTGTGGTGTCCCCCAAATCAAGTAAAAATATGTAAAAATTCCACATCCAAGTGTGGTCCAGATGTGGTGTCAAGCTGACACAGCTGGCTGACTGCAGGTTTGTCAGTCTGATGTGGGCACAGATTTTGAGATAGAATGCCACAACTGGCCCACTTGTGGTTGCTTGCTGGCCCATGCATGCCCACCTCTGGCAAATCACATCAGGACCACCAAAGGGTCGTCATTTTTTGCAATACCTGGGCTGAGTGTTAGTGCGTTGTGTGGGCCAGAACACAGCCAAACTAATTTTGGTATGTGGGATAGTTCATTTAGCTTAATTTGTGTAAAATTGAATGAGTCATTACCATTCTCAATTCAGTTTGACTCCAAGAGTTTGCAGTCCATCTGCTTATTAAGGTCTCCTCTAGGGCTGCAACTAACGATTATTTTAATAATGCAGCCATTTTTTTTCAAAACCAGAGTTTTCTCTTGAATCAAGAGGGACTTCCCATAAAATGAAGGATTTTTTATAATCTCCTGAATTAAAAAACAGAAGCACATCATACATATTTTAACAATTTATTTTGCCAGCTGTATTAAATACTGACTGAAAAAAATGTGTATTTCTCCTACATGAAACATAACAGAAATTTAATAGGTTGCTGAATGAGGAAAATAGATTAAAAGAATAAATGTGATTTTTACATGTAAAACTATTATTAATTTATTATAATTAGAATTTATTTACATTTAACATTTTTTTCTCTAATTCTTTACTTTTTGTTTCATTCTTGTTGGTTCTGTTTGACTAAAACATTGTTTGACCCTAGAGCTGCCACAAATGATTATTTTAATAATCGATTAATCACCGATTTTTTTATTTGATTAATCGACTAATCGGATCATACGTTAATTGAATATAAAACATACAGCTTATCGTGCCAGAATGCAGCTGCTATTATATAACCATCGTTAGATTTTAGCTATATGCTAACTAAAAATAATTGCTGTGGAAGACAAGTTCTGCTCTGCAGATTTTGCACAGGTTTCTCTTTCTTAAAATGATCCCACACTTTGAGCTCTGTTGTCAGGTAGCCATGATACCAGAGCCTGTCTGTATAATGTCTTGTGACGTCCACGGCCTACACCAGTTACCACTACTGTGCATGTGTGTCAAGGACAGAAAGGCAGATGTGGCAGTGGAAGGTGTCAAAGCAGTTTGGAGAGAAAAACAAAGTAAAGAACAAAAAAAAAAGATTAATTGATTATTAAATTAGTCATCGATTGTTTTAATAATCGATTAGTCGTCGATTAATCGATTAATCGTTGCAGCCCTAGTCTCCTCCAAAGTAACAGGAGTCCAGCAGGGTCATCTGCTTTCCTTGTGGGAGAAGCAGGTGCCCCACAAAGCCAGGGAAATGGTATCCAGACAGAAGCAAATCCTGTTCTCTGAATTTAAACTGATGCCTTCAGGCCACCGCTTCATAACACAGACTATCCAACTCTGTTATTCTTTTTGCCATCAGGCTGCTTAACCTTGATGGCACCATGCAGCTCTGAGTTTCTCCTGTGGCTTTGTCACATAGTGCTAAGCATGAAGCTAATCCCTGTTGGTTTGTTGTTGTGCATTACTACTTTCAGTACTGCTGGATTTTGTTGTGTTTTTTGTGTCTACGGGTGTGATGTGTGTATATCGGACTGACTGCTGAACTGTATTGTCTGTTGGGGATAAACAACGCTCTCTGAACTGAACAACTAAAGACACAAAGTGGAGCCTGAGTCTGACTGCCTCAGCGTGATCCCTTCTTTTTACGGACACAAAGAGCCGCCGACGCACACACATCCAGCAGCCTTTAGCAGCTGCTTTGCCTCTCCTCATTTCGTTTGCACCCTCCTGCTGATTTCTGTTTATCATTCTCTCCCTGGTGATTGTTATTCCGTTCGTAACTCTCTTCCATCCCCACAACTTTGCTGCTGTGAACGTGCACAAGTAATGAACAGACTCCCTGTCAGAAAGTATTAATCATGTGAGCTAAAAGGATTTAGATATATTTTACACTAAATACAACTCACATCAGCCACAATGGGCATATTTGATAAAACATATTGCATTGATATATTTTATTAAATCTTTTGTTTTCACATTGGTTGTGCAACAGTCCCACAGTATCTAGAGGGGGACAACAAAAAAGCAGAAGATAAAATGTTCATTTGATTAGACAAGGTCACGTACGTCAAAGAAATTTGGGGTAATTAACTTTTATTCAATTTATTTCTTCACAGCTCTGACAAAAGGATGTGCCAGGCTTTATTTTGATGTTTGTTTTATATTTAACTGACTGAGAAGAAGTGTGGGTCAAAGCTTTGCCAGGAGGTGTAACATTGAAACAAAAGAGGATAAAACAGAAAATGAGCATCTCTTTATCTTCCCATTATTCAAAATACAGTCATGAAGAAAAAAACTAAACTAAACTAAACTAAAAAAACAGTCCTAAATGTTGAATGTGAAGAACATGGTTGGGCAGTAGTATTACTTTTTATACAGAGTATCATTTTAGATAATACCACAGTGGGTATTACCGGGGCAGGGGCAGGTTAGGTAATTAATATCTAACAGATAAATGTCTGCTTGCTTGTTCTGCTCAGGTGTGTGTCTCCATCTCAGTGTGTCCCTCACTCTTTGGGTGTGATTATGGGCTGTTGTATTTATAAAAAAAATGAAAAAAAAAAAACAAAGAAAAAATAATAAAAGAAGTCATGGTTTTACTGTTTCGACTTTACTTTTTATTTATTTTTTGTTGCGGTGCAGTTTATAAGTGCTGGTGTAACAATGGACAGCCAGTTTGTTCAAAACCTCCTGGGATATCTGCTGCTCAGCTTTGTCTCCATCACCTCTCTTCTTCCATGAAGCAGCTCTGTTGTCCTCCATCTATATTTTCATTTACAGGCTGAGTCATTTCTACCTTCTCCTCTC